ATATTTGTGTCCCCAAAACTATCTTGCACATAGTAGAGGATCAGTAATACAATAGATCCACTCAAACCTCCAGTGAAGGGATACTGTTTTCAAGGCAGCTTATTTCTCTGTTAGAAAGTTGTTCTTCCTAAGAATTGCAAATGCTTGTAAATAACTTAACATGATAAGATCCTAAAACACAGAAATTATGCTGTCTATTGCTGTCAATTCATGGTTGAAAGACCTAAGTTTAATTGACTTCCCCAAGGCCACAAAACTATTAACTTACAGATCTGTGGCCTTAAACTCTCATCCCCTGAGTCACTGTCTGGTAGCATTATTTCAGATTCAGTATTAGAAAACAGTTTCCAGGCCCTTCTTAGTCCTCTTAGGCCATCAGGTTTGAATTTTCTACCATCTTGGACATTTTCCTGGTTTTAGCCCAATTTTCCAATAATCCTGTTAAACAAAGTCTCTCCGAGGTACTATGGGGGAACAGAAGCATTCATTTATTACTAGTAGAATTTTCATTGAACATAATCTTTATGAAAAATACACTGGCATTCTCAGCAATTAAAAATTGATCTGCCTTTTCATTTGCTCATCTCACTTTGTAGGAATAAAACTATGTCTTAAGGAAATAATTAAAAAGGAAAAGGAGACCAATTTATAAAAAGAGGAATTTAGATTACTACTTAGAAATGGCATAACATTTGGAGAATGTCTATAGAGTATTGTATAGTTGTGGGAAATGATGTGCAGATCAGATAGCAATAAGGAAAATCATGTAATAAGTGGAAAAATATAAAACACAAAATGGCATATTAACTGCAATGTACAGACATGTGAAGAAATTAGAGTTGTAAATTGTGGATCCATTAAGGTAAAAGGGTTCTTTGTAAATTTTTTATGTTTTGTGTATTTCTGCTTTCCTGGAATTATTGATTAAATCTACAGTAAGGGCTGTAGTGTCCAGAGGTGGACATATAGCTAGAGTACCAGGTTTTTGGAGGGAGTGGGAGGAGGGGAGTCGTGAGAGATGGATCTGGGTGGGAGCACAGATGGCTTTGTAAACATTACACTGAATAATCTGGTCTTCAAATTGTAGATAGGTGTTTCAGTTTCCATCTGATGAGCCTTAAAAGAAAGCACACAAACAAAAAGCAATAAAACCATCATTTCTAATAATCTGTCTGTTACTCATCTGCTGATACAGCCCAAGCTAGGTGAGATATTTGGAACTCAATGATAGAGAGTTGATCAATTAAAACCTCCAGATGTTTTTCTCACATTCTTCCACCAAGCCAGTTTTCTCCAAACCACAATGGTTTGATTAATTTTTAATCTTGATCTACTCATATAAAAATTTCACATTTATTTTTGCTGTTATTTTTCTTATCAGTTACAGCTCAGTATCTCAAAAATGTGAGAAAATTTTGAGCACTTTCAATGAGTCTGTGTCATTATTTAAGGTAACCTCTGTATTATCTTAAATTGTAAAAATTATCATAAGAATAGCTGATTGTTATTAGTGCTTACTATAGACCAATTGCTGCACTGAAGACTTTACCTCATTTTATCCTCAGAACAGGTCTACAAAGTGATTATTATCACATTATCCCTGTCAAAGACCATTCAGATAACAAGTGTCAGAGATGGGACTCTATCCCAGGTGTCTGATGCCAAATTCCATGCTTTTAGCCTTCCCAATAGACATGGAACCACTGATTCACGCTCACTGGATATTGCGATTCACCTGTCAATTCACTTGGCAAGACTATTTATTATCCACCTAACTTTCACTATTGTATTCACAAGAATGTCACGGAAAACTATTAAATACTTTACAGAATTCAAAAATATTGTGCTCATGACATTCTCTTTATCTACTAACATTTGCATTTCTCACCAATTTTATCTTTTTCTTCCTAAGAAATCTCCTCACCACATTATTGTCTCCCTTACTGCATTCTCCACCACACTGCAGACAGAGTGATCTAAACTCAAACTCACTGTGAACAGCACCCCCTACCCCATTTTAAATACTTCAGAGGCCTCCCCTCTTCTTAGAGGATATTCTAACCTCAGTTCTGGGACCTCCAAGGACTCAAGAAATTTATAATTCTACTTTAAATTATATCAATATTGTATATATGTGCACTTTGCTCTGAAAAGTACCTATAGATTTGTATTAGAGTATCAAAAGGGAACTATGATTTAACGACTATAAATCACTTATAATATAAAGACAAATTTTCCTAAATATTTATACAAAACTCATCATGACCTAATTCCTGACCCTCCAAGCCTCATCACCTTCATGTGTCAACCTTTGATACCCACCACACTCACATACACACACAAACAACACCACACTTCCTGTGGTCTCTCAAAATGCCATATGTCAGCTCAGCTCCACACGTATGCCCATGCTGGGCCTTATTCCTTCTCCACTTCGTGAGGTCCTATTCATCTTCAAGCCTCAGCTCCAATATCATCTTCTTAATGAAACCTTCCCTGACCTAGCCAAGCAACATTAAGAGCTTTGCTCGTACATTTTTAAAAAGCGTTTATCAAATCACTTTCATATTTAATTGTAGATGTATCTACTCCACCAAACTTCAAGTTCCAGTCACATGGTGGCTATGACCCTGATATAATGGTAACATTCCAGTCCTCTCACCACTGCGGTCCAGTTTTAACTAATAGGGAGGGAAGCAATTCTCCTCCAGAACCTAGAAATCACTCAATAAATATTTGAACTAATAAAAGAGCAAATAAACTGAGCAACACTATTACAAGATAATGGTCTCCGTTTATTGTACCTTCATTATTTACAGATGTGCATAAACCTTGCCCTTCTGAGACCCAACAGTGGATAATTCAAAGACTTAATAAAAGGTCAATGTAATCCTGGCTCTATTTTAGGGACTGTGAAGGTCCCATAAAAGAAGCTCATGCCATAGTCCCTTCCTTTTAAAAGTTTACAGTCCTGTGGGCAGCAAAGACATAGACATGCACACTCCAACTGAAGACTCATCCAATGGTACTGTAATTGCTTGCCCTCGAATGGTACTGTAATTACCTACTCAGGAGGCAAAATAATATAGTCATCAGAGCCTAAACTTTATGGGTACCTGAGTACAAGTCTTAAGGTTAATGCGTACCAGCTGTGCAAGACTTTGAGCTTTGGTTCCATCAACTGCAAAATGAAGATAATGCTCACTTCAAACATTTACATAGATCATATCTACAAAACATATAGTAAGTGTGGGCCGGCCCGGTGGCGCACTGGATGGTGCGCCGCTTGGGAGGCGCGGCGGCGCTCCCGTCCGAGGGTTCGGATCCCATGTACAGACCGGTTCCCGCTCACTGGCTGAGCGAGGCGCGGGAGCAACGCCGAGGCTTGCAATCCCGTTGCCGGTCCCCGGTCCGGTACGGGGGCAACACTGAGGGTTGCGATCCGTTGCCAGACACGGAAAAAAGATAAAAGACAAAAAAAAAAAAAAAACATATAGTAAGTGTGCAATGGATAATGGTGTGGAGGTCATGCTTGTAGTGAATGTTGATGCTGCTGCTGCTACTGCTACTGCTGCTGCTATTAGCACATTGAATGGTAGCTCCTTGAGGACAAGGACCATGTTTAATTTTATCTTTAAACCCACAGCACCTGAAATAGTGCCTGATACATAGTAGATACTAAACAAATGCATGTTAAATTAACAATCAATTACCAAGTTCAAGATATTGAAAGCCAAGAGAAGATAGAAAAGGAGGGGACTAGAATGAACTGGAATGATCAAGGAAAGATTTACTGAGGAGAGAGGTATACAAAGGGTAGATTTTTTCATAGCTGCAGAAGAGAACAGAAGTTACAGAAGGTGAAAGAAACTAAACATCACACAAAGGTGTGTAGTCTATGTCAGGAGTGAGAAGGAGTAAGTGTGTTTTGTTTGTTAGGAAGGGGAAGCAGTGAGCATGTGACATAATTAAATACTATATAATTAGTAAAACTGTTTAGTACCATGCCTATTTAGTACCATTTGCTCTTTAGTACCATGCCTAGAGATTAATAACAAAGAAAGCAATCCTAAACTTTGATCCTTTTTAGAAGCTACATGTTATAGCAAAACAATACAGGAAACTTTCGTTTGGACAAAGTGTATGGTATAATGGAAAAGACATGAGCTTTGCAGAGAGGCAAATCTAGATATGAATTTTTGTTTTTCCACTTAACTAACTATATTATCTTGGGCCAATCTCTTACCTTTCTGAGTTTCTGTTTCTCTTCCGTAAAATGAGGATAATCATGCCTATCCCGCAGGGCTGATGTGGAGCGTGAGTGAAATAATTTACGTAAGGTACCTAGTGCAATGCCTAGTGCAGCAGGTGTTCAATAAACATGAGAGCTGCTGTTATTTTTAATACTGTGAATTAGTGCATTTATGTATATGTGCTAAGTCAATGTGTACATCTTGGTTGCCTGTGTTTTTGGACATGTAAACTTGAGCTAACTTGATCTGGGAATAGTTGGGCTTTTTGAAATGGAAATAATCCAGAAAAGAAGAGTGTGTAATGTGATACCACTTGGTTGTTTGTCTCTTCAAAATGAAGAAACACAAAAAGTTTTGAGTTTGGACAACTGATTAGGTTGAATGCTCAAATAGGAAACATAATGTTCTCTATTAACCACCTGCTGTACAAACTGTCATGCAAATACTGCCTTAAGCTTTATGCAAAACATTTGAAAACCTCTGTGATTTTGTTTTTCTGCTTGGATTTTCTTTTCTGTAGTAAGATATGTAAGTGAATTAATTTCAAGTGTGTTTGTCTGTAAATCTGCCAAATATTTCCTTTTAAATACTTGAGCTCCATGTTGAATATACAGTTATTGTTCTTAACACATTATATATTATTTAGTAATAGATTTTATCCCTTAATCATTTAATGGGCTTTCAGTTCCACATATACTGAGGTGTCTCCTATGCCCAAAATAAATGAAAGTTTTTCATTCCATGCAGGTTCTTCTAGGGGACCCAGCCCCCTAACCATGGGAGCCCAGGACACCCTCCCCGTTGCAGCAGCATTTACAGAAACAGTCAATGCCTACTTCAAAGGAGCAGATCCAAGCAAGTAAGCCCAGGACTTGGTCCACCGTCTTTTCCAAGCTCTATTCTATCTGGTGGGGGACACTCTAAATATAACTATTTCATTCCTATCCCAAAACGAAAAAAATCTAGTTAATAATAATAGGTGGCACACCAAGAATAGAGGAGAAAATTTAATTAGGAATTTTAATTCATGGCTTTTAAAAATGCACCAAACAATCTAATAATCTAATATCTAACTATCCAAAAATTTCTAATTTGGTTTTGGTTGCAAGTAACAGAAAACCCTAACCCAATTCTGTCAACAAAGAGAAAATTTATTGTCTCATTAAATTAAATGTCCCGATCATGTCTTTTATTGTCTTAATCTTTCCCAGATGGGAATCGCCACACATAAATTGAAATATTGGTGCACTGGAATAAGAACATGGAAGAAAACATACTTTCCCCAAACAACCAGAGAAGCAAGGGAACAAACTATATGTTACCCATACTAAGTAAGGAAAAACTGGCCCCCCAAAAAAAGGCAAAGAAAAGGAAAAACATTATAATTACAGCAAAGTAAAAATTCTAGTGAAAATGTACCACCCTCTATTTACATGAGCCTGATTTCACTTATCCAAGTACATACTGACAATGGACTTGATATGAATACATATGTGATATAATTAAATTTTTACCTCTTGATAAAGAGTCCCATGGATACGATTCAGGAAGTCTATGGGGTCCCTGAAACTATATTGGGTATCTTACGTGTGTACACATGTGTGCATTTTTCCATAGAGACTGTAGCATTCATCACTTTAACAAAGCCGTTCATGAACCCCCCACCAAAAAAATTAAGAGTAATTACTAGTCTACACTGAAAACTAAACACCTAAGCCAAACTGGTTTTCAAATGTGTCATTAATGTAATTCCAGATCTGAATTTTATTAGTAAATAAAGGACAAACCTAGGTGCAGGAAGAATTGCTCTTGATTTTTTTACTTATGGGGCTAGGACTTGGAAAACCTTAGTATCTATGGCAATAAGAAGGAGAGAAAAAAATGTAAATGTGCATATAGAATACAAGACCATATTATAAATTTTTTGAAGCAGTGATCTCTACATATATTTTAAATGGTAATTTATATGACTAATCATGAATCCTCTTTACACTTCAGAAATACTAGTTTTTAAAAATCTAAATCTAACAATATTGGTACTGGAAAACCAATATAATTAGTAAATCCACCTGTAAGTGTCCTACCCAGCCACTGGGATCTATCAACCTCCCTAAATGTCCTGCCTCTTTAAACAACATCTAGATCTTATTCTAGACACAGAATGTTGTAGAGAAATAAACACTGTGAACTCTGGTTTCTCCTATGTCCTTTCTCTTTGATCTTCAAAACATGAAGGCCATTTGCCACATCCACATATCAACAGTAATTAAAAGCCACCTCATGCAGAGCATGCATTTGAACTGCTAAAGCAAGTAAACACCATGAGCTTAGGTTAAATATATACTTTATATACACATTTGTTCTGTCGAATTTTCTTTAAACGAAGAATTTGCAAAACTTTCTGTCATACCAGTCCTAAGAACTACTTCTCACAGACCGACCTATGCCTTAGAAAATTCAGGCTGGCCTGAACTGAGAAAAGCATGCAAAAAACACACTTGTAAAAAAAAAATAATAGGAATGTGAAGGGAATGTGTATACCTCAGTGAAAACCACTGGGAACCACACAAGAATGAATTATATTTTGTCTGCGTCCTTATTGGCTTTTATTCATTCATTCACCGACTTATTCAGAGACCTAATTGTTCTCCTTACTTCCACTTTTGCCCCCCTAAAGTCTATTCTGAACATACCATGTCACTCCTCAGCTCAAAACCTTCCTATCTGTTCAAAGTAAAAATAACATTCTACCAGGAAATGCTCACATGAGGGAAAAATGCTTTATAATGGTCTATAAGGCCATACCTGATCTGTCCTCCCAGACCCCCAATCCCACCCCAGTTGCTGTCCCTCTGATCTCATCCCCGTCCCTCCCCTCCTCGTCTCTGAGCTCGTCTCTGTCCCTCCCCTCCTCATCTCTGATCTCATCTCCGTCCCTCCCTTCCTCCTCTCTGATCTCGTCCCTGTCCCTCCCCTCCTTATTCACTCAACTCTAGCCACACTGGCCTCATGGATGCTTCTCTTTCTTCACTCCAACCCCACCCACAACTCAAGGTCTTTTCGTTTGTTGCTCTTCTTGCCTTAGTGAAATCTTCTCCCAGATATCTATGTGTCTTGTCCTCTCACTTCCTTCATGATATGACTCTTCAGCGAAATTATCAAAGAAACCTTCCCTGTCCACCCTACATAAAATAACAACTCTCAACAACCCACCCCTCTCGGTACTTACTCCTGACCTCACTGTCCCTGTATCCCTCATCTCTAACATCTTACATATTTTTTTCTGTTGTCCATTTTGCCTTTTCTCCCGCTGCAATGTAAGCCTCATGAGAGCTGGAGTTTGACTGTTTTGTTCATTGCTGTACCTTCAGCACCTAAACCAGGACCTGGCATGGAGTATGTATGGTGCATTTGCTGGGCAAGTGGAGTGGAATTACCTAACATTTACAGAATGGCTACTTTGTGCTTGTCATTGTGCTAGACAGGAGATATATTGGTGGTAAAGGCAGATGACATGGGAAATAAGACTTGTGCATAAATATTATACAAAGGCCACTATTGAAGAGGTGTAAATATGGTGTAACAGGAGTCAAGAGGCCCTTAATAACAGTGCTTTTTTTTTTTTTTTTTAAATCCCAAGCAGTGGTATAGCAGCTTATCAATCCCCTGTAGGCCTGTCGCAGTACAAGCCAGGGTTTTCATCCGTGTTCAGTTTCCCCAGCACACGATGACAGGCATGTAGGGCACTCTGCACCTGTGAGCCTGCTGTCCGTGGCCTTGGCATTCCAATGATGTGGCACTTGAGCCAAATTAATACTAGTGCTTTTCCTATACTCTTCCAAATTAACTGAGTCATTGACTTGTGGATATATAGGAAGTCTGTTTTCAATTATAATGCCATAAATAGTTGCAGTATATCCTGTATGCTGTTATATGGGAGATCCAATATATTTCATTAAAATTTTGAGATCTGAAATTTATGAACAGATCATGAAGTGACATTCTTCTATATTTAATTTCATCTCCAGACAGTTAATTATTTGAATTGCTCTTTCTTTGTTATTAACTTTCAAAGAAATGACTCAGGTTAATCACCAGAGGAAATAAAGCCATCCCTGGCACCAATTAGAAAAATGATGCAGAAAAAACATTCAGTTTTGTTTTAGCCTGTATTTCCCCTTCATCCTGCATCAAAGCCATTTGTTTTCAGAACATACATTGGAAATAAAAGCCCACTATCTTAAATTTTATGTACCGTGGAATATAATTCATTCACATATAGTTGCCCTCTTTCCCTGAATATTCAGAGCACCTGTAACAGGTATTCTCACATGTGAGTCTTTCTCAGTAGCTCACAGGCAGAGAACTTCTTGACCTCTGCTACTGGTCAGGGAAACACATTTCTCATCATAAGTTCATATTTGAACAAACTTGTTGCCAAAAAAAAAAAAAAAAAACTAGAAAGGGATGAATTCTCTAATGCCCCAGGAAAACTTAGGTTTCTCAGTTATATCCCGTCCGCTTATCATCATATTTTAATTATTTATTCAATATCTGCCTCCCTGTTTAAACTAGAAATTTGTGCAAAGACCATGTTTATCGTATTTGTCACTGCCCATTCTAGTGAATTACATAGTGCCTGGTATATTGTCTAGGTACCCTACATGTACATAATTGTTAAATATATGAATTTAGAGGCCAGCCCCGTGGCTCACTCGGGAGAGTGTGGCGCTGGGAGCACAGCAGTGCTGGGAGCGCCAAGGCCGCGAGTTCGGATCCTATATAGGGATGGCCTGTGCGCTCACTGGCTGAGCGCGGTGCGGACGACACCAAGCCAAGGATTGCGATCCCCTTACTGGTCACAAAAAAAAAAAAAAAAAGAAATGTATGAATTTATTTTTAAAACATTTTATTGAGTTCCTAATCCATTCTGAGTTGTGTGTTATGCATCTTCACCTTCCAAGAACATAAGACACAGTACTCGCTTTCACAATAGTTGATAAGATATGCAAGAAACTACAACACGGTTTTCTAGAAAAGATCTGTATATGTTTTCAAGGGAACCTAGAGAATGGAAAAACAAAGGAAGGCTGAATGGAGAAGATATTAAGGCAAGCTTCAGAAAGGCCTTCCTTTGAACTGGATCTTGTAATATGAAAAGAATTTTGCCTAGTACATAAGTCAGTGAAAGGGGACTATAAACAAAAAAAGAGAAGCTGCATGTGCACAGAAGTATGCCTGAAAAGAGGGCTGTGGGCTTAGTTATCAAAGTGATACATGGAAGTCACATTTTGTGGGAGGGATTCGTTTCTGATGACTTCATATAATTTGAATTCACACATTCCTTGACCAAAATTGACCATTATTTCTGTTGACCAGCTAACGTGGTGCTGCCTGTGGCAGTAGGGAGAACCCAATTTATGTCATTGAGCCAGTTGACTTTGAAATTTTACCAATCTTCATAAATGTTTCATTTGTGGGGATTCAGATTTTATTCATAAAGTAAGAGTTTATTTATAGTTCCATATCACATTATTTTTAATTTCTGTAATTCAACTCACATGAAATGTAGATACCTTGGATACTGATAGGAGCAATCATTAAAGTTAGAAAAAGATTCTCCTTTAGTGACTATAGAAAATATTAAATTTTTATATAGAAAATTTCAGATCAACTTAGACACTGGATGGATTAATGAATCAGCAAAGGCCTGACTCTGACAGTTAAGATGCAGAAATATATTTGAGGAGCCTCAGTGCATCTTACATTGGATTGTGTGGACACCTCCTCCTATCTTCTGCCCAACACCATAAGCCCTTTGAAGGCAGGGGTTGTTTTGCCCATTTTTATAGAAAATTTCAGATCAACTTAGACACTGGATGGATTAATGAATCAGCAAAGGCCTGACTCTGACAGTTAAGATGCAGAAATATATTTGAGGAGCCTCAGTGCATCTTACATTGGATTGTGTGGACACCTCCTCCTATCTTCTGCCCAACACCATAAGCCCTTTGAAGGCAGGGGTTGTTTTGCCCATTTTTTAAAAAAAAAAAAAAAAAAAAAAAAAAAAAAAAAAAAAAAAAAACCTTGCATAGTTAGAAGTTAATAAATGTTTAACTCAATAAATGCTACCTCCTCCCCTCTCCATCTTGCTTTCAAAAGAGAAACGTTATCTCCTACCAAGATACCACTCAGCTCTCATTTTGAGCAAGCTGGAAAGGAAACTGAGATTTCCTACCAGTTAAAAAACATTTGAGCCACCACTGTTAAGGACAACGTACTGAGTGACGGGAGGTGCTGAAATCTAGTTTAACAAGTGATCTAACTGTTGTTTGTTTTTAAGAGCTACCAAATAATATTCTGCATGCCAAATATTGACAAACATCAAGAGTAGACTCAGCTTGAGAGACTCCAAGCTAACCATCAATTCAGCACCAGTAAACAAAAAAGGTTAATTGATCTAAAAGGTAGAAAAGGAAGACAGCAGCTTGCATCAATCTGGGTGATCAGTAATATTCTCCAGCAAAGAGAGAGCTGCAAACTTCCGAAAACCAAAATTCTTATTCAGAGCAGTGCAAAGTTGTGGATGAAACATCTGAATGAGACAGGGACACATGGCAACTTTAGGAAGCTCACCTTCCCTCCACCTCTACGCCAAACCCAGCTATATCCATACAAGGCTATAGTAGTTTCTCACATAAGTTATTTTAAATGTGTATCAGGGACCACCTCACCTAAACCAGGTGTGTCTCATCACTCACAGAATTACGCAGTATACAAGATGACTGTGGAGCAAAACAGAGTCCCCTGTGCTCAGATGTGAACAGTTTTCATTTATTAATCTCAAGTTCCCTGGAAAGTACATTCCAGAACTTAGAGCTGAAGAAGTGGTACAAGAGTAAGTTATCCAGATGTATGTGGAAGTTGTAAAGAAGCTCACCCATTTTAAGGATTTATTGTTTCCCAAAGAATAAACCTTTTAAGATTTCTGCTTCTAGCCAAGGTGGAGCAATGGACTCCACCTTGTAATTTACCCTCCCACCTGAAACAGCTCAAAAATATACAAAATATCTGAAACAATGATTTGCAACACAGTGGACATAGGGCAAAAGACAGTGATCCCTGAGAGGTGAGGTGTGTCATATATCTGCTCCAACTTACTTTTTTGAGAGTTTCCAGGCATGGCATAGGCAGAACCCAGCAGCTGTTCATGGGCAAGTAGTCTCACTGGGGCACTCCACTACAACACTGGCTGAGGGAGGTGCCAGAGTAAACTAATGGCTGGTGGGTGATGCTGGCTACCATGCAGTGCACAAATTGGCAGTGGAGAAGGTACATACGTGGCAGAAGCGTGCAGCTGGAGAACCCACCTGCATGGCAGGATCTGGGCACTGGGGGAGCCCAGCCACTGGCACTACTTGAGCCACACACAAGCTTCCTGCGCTAGATAAGCCCTGTGCATTACAGGAACCTGCATAGCAAGCACACTGGAACAGAGAAGGAAAACTCCTTCTTTCCGCAATGACTCTCCAGCGCCCTCTACTGACAAAATTTAACATGGTGCCTGTTGGCAAAGGAAAAAAAAAAAAAATAACGGGCTTGTTATTTTCTCAAAGTAGGCAGTAAAGGGTGAATTGGAACTGAGAGGCAACAAACTGATTTTATCTAAAAAATCAACGCAGTGATTCTAAGTTTTATCCGCAAATCGAAAGGACTTACAATAGACAAAATAACTGAAAAAGAACAAAGTTGGAGGACTAACATTGATTTCAGAACTGCTATGAAGCTACAGTAATCAAGACAATGTGGTATTGGTTTAAAGATAGGCAAAATAGATTAATGGAATAGAGCAGTAAATCCAAAAATATACCTACACATATATGGACAACTGAATTTCAATAAAATTGTCAGGGCAATCCAGTGGAGAAAAGACAGCCTTTTCTCAACAAATGGTGCATCCACACACATACAAAAATGAACTTAAATCCATATTTCACATTGTATACAAAAATTAACTAAAAATTGACCATAAAGTTAAACATAAAATAAAAATAAACTTTTAGAAGAAAATATAAGTGCAACTTCTGTGATCTTGCATTTGGCAAAGATTTGTTAGGACACCAAAAAAAATAGCTGGATTCCATACAACCCATAAAAGAATAAATTGATGAATTCAAAACTTCTGCTCTTCAAAGTTGCTCTTAAGAGAAAGAAACAAACAAGCCATAGATTGTGGGGAAAAAATCTCTGAAAATCATGTTTTTGAAAAATGATTTATAACCAGCCTATGTATAAAGAATTCCCAAAATTCAATAAGGGAAACAAAAACTCGATTTAAAAACTTGGCAGAGATTTTGAACATTAGGGATTACAGAAAAGCATGAGGAAACTTTTAGGGATGATGGATATGTTCATTATCTTGATTGTATTATGGTTTCACATCATACCATTTTATGGAATTTTATACTATAAATAAGTGCAGTTTATTGTATGTTAATTATACTAACATAAAGCCTTAAAACAATTATTCTTCCTTCCGAACTATAATCCTATTGTGTTTATTTCTATGACTGTCTTACAGTTTTGACCAAATAGACAAGAGTTTTTATTTTTTTCTGTTCCAATAGACAAGTTAATGGAATTAAAGTAGGAAGCAAGAACTTGACCTCATGAGTATATTTAAAAAAACATATTCAAGGCATTTTTAAAATAAAATTTTATTTTATCAGGTTACTCATAGAACAAAAATAAATTCCAGTAAAGTGTGATTATATTGTGCAATTTAATGTCTTCAGTTATGGTTCCAAAAATTCAGAAATCAAAGTCAGATAGAACCACCAGAGTAGATGATTCTAATAGTGAAGTAAAACTGTAGACTTTTCTACAGAAAGGGAAAAGCTGCATTTTTCTTCTTATAGTTCAAAACACATTCGACAAAATAGCCACTTTTTTTTAGGTGTGTTAAACCACTGAGGTCTCAGATAAGTTAGGAATTCTTTAGTAGTTGAGAGTAAAACTGTAAGAGTTTGCCTTTCATCTCTTCTGTTGTCTGACATTGTTACATAAATCTTTTCTTTCTCGTAGCTGTTTTGATTCACAGTGTATTGACCTGGCTTCCTCTCTCTCTCCTCTCCTGTGTTTTGATATGCCAGATGTATTGTTAAGATTACTGGAGAAATGGTGCTGTCCTTTCCTGCCGGCATTACCAGACACTTTGCCAACAACCCATCCCCAGCTGCTCTGACTTTTCGGGTGATAAATTTCAGCAGGTTAGAACACGTCCTGCCAAATCCCCAACTTCTCTGCTGGTAAATATGACTTTGCACAATTTTTTTAGAGATATGTATGGCTTAGCACTTTGTACTTAGAGGAGGGATGTACCTTAGCAAGAAGTAGCACTGTAGCAAAATTACCACTATTCAGGTGTGCTTGTATGTTCAGACACAGATCTTTATCAGCTGTCAAAGTTTTCTGTGTGTGATTGTGTGTGTATGTGTAGCTGTATATGCACCTTTGTATTTTAATGACCAAGTATCCCAAGTAGTTAAGGAGACAGAGTAATAAAATCTGTATTAGTGACGATTTCTTCGTTGTCTGTTTTACTTGTTATCAGTAGACAGTGGATGAGGATGGTGGGCAATGAGGCCAATAACAGGAATAAAATCCATTTATGGTATTAGCGTCTTTTTAAAATCAAATTCATGAGCTTGGAAACATTTTTTATGAAATATATGACTTCATGTAATTTCAATTGTTTTGATGGAAATTTACATATATGACATCAAAGAAGTGTGTGCGAGTTTGTTTACATAAATATACTTTTTCTCATTTTTTAACTATGAAACCTGAGTATGAAATCTGTGTTATGCACACGCACATGCTGTCACACAAACATGCACACATGCATGCTATGAAAATAGTCATTCTTGACAGCTTCCTTTCCATCATCAAGTCCTGATATCCCATCTAAAAACCTCTCTCTAACATGGCCACTTTCTTCCTTTACTGCAACCTCCCCTGTCCAAGTGACCACTATCACTTCTCTGGACTCCTGCAATTGCTTTCTCCTTCCCTCTCTAAATCCAGTCTTGCACCCCCTCCAATACATTTTGACAGCCAAATGACACTTTCTGAGGTAAATCAGGTCATCTTCACTCATGCCCTCTGGTGATTTCATTTTGCACAATGGCCTTTGAGTCCATGCATCGTCTACCTTTGCCTGTCTTGCTGCCCTCATCTCCCACCACCTTGCCTTCTGATCCCTGCAGCTCCAGCCAACCTCAGAAACAGGTTGAGTCCTTCCCCACACCCAGGCTCTGTGCACTTGTTTCTTCTTCACCTGACTCCTACTCCTCCTTTAGGGCTCAGCTCCCTGACTGTCCCACTATCCTCCCCAGCCCCACCCACCAGTCCCGAACTAATTATGTCGCCTTGTTATTCTCTCTCAAGGTACCCTCTTCTTTCTCTTTGTAGCACCTACTGCAATTAATAACTATGTATCTCATTGTATTTCTTTATTCGTCCATCTCCCCGATGACTCTGTATAATCCATGAGGGAATGGAGCACATCTCTCAGTCCCCACTGTACCACCAGAACATTCCACTGTGCCTGGCTCAAGCAAATAAGGACTTGAGTAATATTTTTGTTGAATGAGTAAGCAACTCAACCATAATTTAAAGAATGTAGTCAAGACAGATATGGAAATAACTAAAGATTGTTGGTATCTGGAATTTGAGAACCAATATATCATTCAATTCTCGACCAAGTGAGAGTTTTAATTTCAGTGGTGATGAAACAGTCATAGGTCTTTCAGGTGATTATCAAAATCACTTCCTCCTCTTTGGTCCTTCTGGCAAACTTGAGTTTAGGCTTAATGGTATAAAAGAAATGATCATCCATTAAGATGAAAAATAAATGTGAAATGATCAAGATTGGAAATTATTCATTAAATTCTTCTGTATCCCTCTGTGTTTCTGATGTGCACATTGAGTCACTTAATTTTATTTTTTGAGACTACTTCATCTGAAAATAGGAGTAATGTGCCAATATTTCACCAGTTTGTTTGCAAATATGACTGGTGTGATATTTAAAACTTTTATTGCATTTTTAGACAGTCACATTGCCAAGCTCTTAGGCATATGTGGAAAAGTTGTATACATATATTGATAAATTGAATTAAATATCATAAATTGAATTAAATATCATAAATTGAATTAAATATCACTCATAATATTTTTGCTTGACAAACATTATATAGACCCTTCAATTATTACTTTAAAAAAAACAAAAAAAAAAAAATGAAAACAATCCCCTAAATCTAGTCCTTATCAATTCTAAATACTTGATAATTGTGACAAGGCTATGATGGGTGACTCTTTAGTCATACTCGTATGTAGCCTATGTGGTTTTGTTGCACAGTACCACTGCACCATCACCACTACCACCCCTAGGTTTTAAAAGGCATGTTGGCCAAGCATTATTATGGATTGCAATATAAGCCTCTGTCTTCTTATACCCAAACCAATTCTCTCATTTATGTTTACTGAAAGACTTCATTTAGGTTAGCATCAGGGCCCCTGGAGACATTTAGGCTTGCAGTCTTTGTGACAGGGGCCAAATTGAAGTTTACTTCTACTTTCCTGTTATGAAAGGGGTTTGCTTGTAAAGGATATTCAGGAACAATTGTTAACCCAAGTATGAGACCAAAGAATTCTCCAGACATCTTCAGCATTTGAGAATTCTGTCTCTGTGTAAGCATTTGATTGGCAAAGCTTACTTGAATATTTATTAGAGAAATAATCATGGACATATGACTTAGCTTATTTGTTATTAAGCTCAGCAAATGCATTTCTTTTAAAATAGATCCCAATTATTCAGATCTACTTACTATGAATTAATGACATGCTGCTAGATATTAATTCCAAACCTCTGTTTTGGTATAGTGGGAGAGTATGACCTGCATAACTGACTAGAGCTGGACTCCTGACTCTCACTTACTAGCTGTGTGACCTTAAGCAAATTACTTAATTTCCCTGACTCTCTGTTACTCTTATCTCCTGCTTCCTTGTGTAGTGACAGCTCTGGAAGCTTGGGGTAAATTAGACACTTTCAAATAAAAAAGTTTGGACAGCCCTTATCAGCTTCCTTAGCTCAGCTTGACCAGGGGCAACCAACATCTCATGGGCCAGGAGTTTTTTCCATCCCCTTCCTCCATTCCCAGAGCCAGAGAGCTTTGCTTTGTCCTCAATAACCTTATATTAGGGCACAATAGGACCTCACGGCTCATGCTGAGACTTGGCCATACCCTCCTGACAAAGGCAGTTTTAAGGCCCTGATATTTGTTGACTCAGCTTTTTTGATTTGTTTGCCTTCTAGAGGCTGAATCATAGCAAATTACTTTTGATCTGCTTTTACCATTTTTTCACTTTATCATCCTCTCCTTTCTCAACCTCTAATTTTCTCTTTTTATAAGTTTGCTCATCTTTAAAAATGAGGATAATAACTTTTCCTTTACAGGGTAGATTTCAATGAAATAGTTTATAATGTATCAAGCAGAGTGCCTAGCACATACTGGGTGCTCAAGAAATTGTAGCTACTATGGTGTTATATAGAATGTTCTGAAAGTAAAGGGTCAGTAAACGAGTTGTGTGTTAAGTCACTGAATCACTCGGGCCTCAGTTTCCTTATTATGTGGGAAGTGAGCAGATGCTTTATACACTTTTGCCTGATTCTTTTTATCACTGAGACAAGTATTTGCAAGAGAGATAGGGTGAGTAGTCTGTGGAAAGGCCTCTGAGCAAAGCTAAGGACTCTCATAGGGATACAAAACTCAAGTTTGTCAAGAATGCACTCTACTTTTCTGTTGTAACTACCATGATTATTGTCATTGAACTCCAGGCTGATCTTCTAATGAAGTGACATTTTTTATTATTTTGATGCTCTTGGATAAAACATGGTAAATATTGAAAAGATAGCATTGTCATTTTAGAATCACCCTTTTCTCCTTAGTTGGTGATAAAGACTGTGTTTACATTTGGCCAAATATTTAACTGGATAATTTCTGAGAACTGCTGGGTCAATTCAAAAGGAAATCAAAGTATTCAGCTCCTTGATTACATTAAATCAGACGACACGGTGGTGACGTAGAAAGGGCTATTAAGTTTGGGTTAATAAATAATTCACTCTTCAAAGCAACCAATTATCATCATGATTGGTCAATATTCTTGGGTACCCACTGATATTTATAGTAATACAATAGTTTCTTCCTATGGGTATTAATCTATTAACATAATACTATTCAGAACTAAATATGTAATAAAACCACACTACTGTTAATGATATAATCTCTACCAATTGTCAAAGGTGGATATAGAAATTAGATCATAATTTGCTAAGATGCTTCTTGTGTGGTTTATATTTGTTATAAGATGCTACTAAATCATTTTTTCTTCCCAATTGAATAGTGATAATACACAAAATGATGCCAATACCAAGGAATTCTGGGTAAACATGCCAAATTTGATGACTCACCTAAAGAAAGTGTCTGAACAAAAACCCCAGGCTACGTATTATAATGTGGACATGCTCAAATACCAGGTAAGCCTATTAGTAAGGTCAGGGTGTTTTTATCACATTACAGATTTATATTTTAAAGTACATAATATTAAGTAAAAGTAATGTTTCTTTTAGTATTATTTAAAATTATAAGAAAATAGAAACCTTAAAGGGCTAGTTAGAAATAGTGACAAAAATATTTCATACCTATCCTTATTAGTTTAAACTTATAAGTAAAAAATTTATTAAAAATTAGAGTAGCATGTCATAAAAATGAAGTTGCAGGAAATTACATTAATTAACAGTATAAGAATTGATAAAGTAGATCACTGTAGTTTTGTCAACAGCATCACTGTACTCTTATTTAAAACGATTAACTATAAGCAATCTGTTTTTTTTTTTCTTAGTGTGATAGTCTTATGAAACAGTTCTAATAAACATGTTAAGTAATAATTAAACATAGGGCCGGCCTGTGGCTCACTCGGGAGAGTGTGGTGTTGAGAACACCAAGGCCCATGGTTCAGATCCTATATAGAGATGGCCGGTTAGCTCACTGGTTGAGCGTGGTGCTGACAACACCAAGTCAAGGGTTAATTAAGATCCCCTTACCGGCCATCTTTAAAAAAAAAAAGAAATAATTAAACATCAAAAGAATGCTTGATAAGACACAATATAGTATATGAGAACTTTCCTTTTGTGTCTAAGATTGCTCTTACCCCAAATTATTACTGATCTAGTAAATAAGCCTATTCAAACTAGGATTCTATAAATAGAAGTCTTTATATTTAATGTAACCAAATTCATTGATTCTTTCTTTTGTGTTTAATGCTTTTTTCTATCTTCTTTATGAGATGTTCTTCTTATAAGAAATCATGAAACTATTCTTCTGTATTATCTTCTAAAAGCTTAAGAATTTCTCACATATAGATCTAAAACAGTAAAACAATGATTTCTGTGTAAAAAAATTAGAATTCTATAGTGCCTAGTTGAGTCTTCCGTTGATTCCAAGTCACTTGAACTCCTAGATTATTTTTAATGTATTATCATTTTTGTGATTAAATATGCTTAGATTATTTTTCTTAGGATGAAGAAAGTTGTACTTCAACAAAAATCAGTAAATGTCAAACACGACTGCACTTTTCAATTGCCAGGAAACTTGTAAACAAGTGCTGGTTCTGGACTGGTGTTAAAAAGAAATACATACACCAGCTGGGTCCTGAGACTCCCAGAGATTTCTATTTAATTGTCTCAGGATGAGACCCAGATATCGTATTTTTGATGTCCCCCAAGTTATTCTAATGCACCCTATGGGTTGAAAAACATTTATTTAATTGTTGTATGGAAACTATTGAAAGTGAAATATTTATGTAATAGTATATTTATAAAAAAGCAAACAAATGCAATGTTTTTCCTTTGAGAATAGTATCATCTAAGCTTTGGACATTATTGATAATACCAACAAACATATGATATGACATATATCATCACTTTTATAACTAAAGTATAATAGAAAATGTATTTTATTTAACTTTTTTGCCCCAAAATATTTAAGCATGTTTAGTGACTGCTATAAGCTTGCGGAGAAAATGAAAAGGAGTAAGAAAGGGAAACTCCAAATGTACTTTTTCGCTGAATGAAAAGTTAAATTTCAAGGCACATGCATGGCTCTCCTACCCAAAGTGTGAAAATAAACTGTAGTTATTTCCTTCATGAACTCTGATTACAAACATTGCATCCACATTTTCAGTTTAGGACAAAAAATTTTTTTGAAACTCTTCAGTTCTGTGCAGTGTTTATAGTTTCCATATTTGTTAAGTAAACCTAGAAAGTAGACAGAATTCACCTATTGCAATATTAGCTTTGTGTAAAGTATTAGAGTGTAGGCAAGAGATCAAATTCTGGAATTAAATAGGCTTTCTACCGGTCACTGACCTTGGGCACTTAATTTCCCAGACCCTCAGTTCCCTCATCTGCAAATGAGGGTAATAAAGACACCTACCTAGACATTATACAGGCCGTTGTAAGGAGCTAATAGCCTAATATATTTCAAAGTATTTTGTGAAATGTAAGTAGCTCTAGACCTGTCATTTTATTTTCCAGTGTGCTCTGAGGAATCCCCTCTGCTGTTATTTAGTTGTGCTTTTGTTGTTCTCTTTCAACAGTGGAAGGAACTCTGGGAGGTGGGAGTGGGGAGCACAACTATCATTTTGTGTGACTGTCCTCAAATTGCAGCATGTTTAGTTTCTGGCCACCAGTAACATCTCCCAGAAATTGGGAAAACAAAAACACCTTCACATATCCGAAAAGCACCTCCCCAGGTAGAGGAACTATTATCGAGTTGAAAACTACTGCTGAGGATGTAGTATAGAAAAATAAGTGGTGGAGGGGATTCTGATCTGCTTCTGATCTACTTGAGATAATAGATTTCTAAATAAAAGTTCATTAGCAGAAAGGATTGAGCTGCTGACAATATTTAAAGTTTAAAAACTATTATAATAGCTAGCTAGCTAAAATTGTCATCAAAAGTCATATCTTTTATTTTATAGAAGAACTTATTTCTGGGCTTGTTTCTGCAATAGCCACTCCTGCCTTGTGAACTCAACCCCCCTTCATGACCCTTCCCCATGGTTTCTATATGTGAAGACATTTCCAGGAGAGTTGTTTATATTCTTTTTTTTTTTTTTTTTTTTTGTCTTTTTGTTTTTTTTCGTGACCGGCAACGGATCGCAACCCTCAGTGTCGCGCCCGTACCGGACCGGGACCGGCAACGGGATCGCAACCCTCAGTGTTGCCCCCGCTCCTCGCTCAGCCAGTGAGCCGCCGGTCTGCACATGGGATCCGAACCCTCGGCGGGAGCGCCGCCACGCTTCCCAGGCGGCGCACTGTAGCAGTGTGCCACCGGGCCGGCCCGAGTTGTTTATATTCTTGAAAATAAGCAAAACTCATACTCCATGAATAAAAATCCAAGGGCAAAGACACCACCCACACAGTGCCTGCAGTGTGCATGTACTTATAAGAGGAGAATCTTCTAGAAATCTATTCACCATCACAATAAACAGCAGAGAAATTATAACATTGTGAATTTTTCACTGTGGACCCATAATTCAAATCGATATTGTCTTTAGATAAGACAAATTTTTGTTGATTCTACAAACTTGGCTTTTTTGTGGTGGGATAAACTTACGATTAATTCTAACTAGAATCAACAGTAGAATGTAGCCCTCCCAGTTAGAAGACCTGGGTTCAAGTCCTTACTTTGGAAAATCCCAGAAGAGTAATAATAACTTGCTTTGTCTAACTCACTGGTTTGTTGTGAAAAGCAAATATGGTAAGGACAAAAATAGGTAACATTTATTAAAATGTTGATTCCATACTATGTGTGAGTCTCTGTGCTGAATGTTTCACATAAAACGTCTTCTTCAGTCTTCCCAACAACACTATGGATAAATATTATTGTTATAATTCCTATTTGGCAGATGAGTAAGTAACTGAGACTCAGAGAGGTTTAATGATTTGTCCAAGGTCACTCAGCTCATAAGTTGCAGAATCAGTACTCACAGCCAGGACTGTCTAGCTTCATGTCCTCAGCACCTAACCAGTGTGCTATTCCCTTTTTCTAAGTGACACAAAGTGCATTGTAACTCTAAAGTGCTATAGAAATTTTAGTAGTTGATCCTGTGTTTTTAATATTTAACAGTTTACTTGAAGCACCCATCTCTCTCTTATACGGCGCCCATCACAGTGCTTTTCAATGAGAACTCATTTGCGAGCAGCATAAACAACATGATGACAATTTGATATCTAAGAACATTCCTGCAAGAGGTAGTCACAGCTTCTGCATTTGTTTCAGATTAACGGTCGATGCTTAAATATTCTCTTCCCTGTCATTTGGCAAGGTGTCTGCCCAGGGCATTCAGTCCACACCTCTGAACCTGGCAGTGAATTGGCGATGTGAGCCTGCGAGCACTGACCTGCGCATAGATTACAAATACAATACTGATGCAATGACAACCGCTGTGGCCCTCAACAATGTGCAGTTCCTGGTCCCCATAGATGGGGGCGTAACCAAGCTCCAGGCTGTGCTGCCACCAGCAGTCTGGTAAGAAGCTCCTAGTCCCCTTTCTCTTCACCAAAGGGCTCCTTCTGGATGAAGGGGTCACAGCTTCTTAGCATTTGTGTTTCCTCTAGGAGATGACAACAGGCATGTGGATTAGGGTTTAGGGCAGGAAACAGAAACCGCTGTAGCTATTTTAAGCAGAAAATAATTTAACACAGGGATTTCAATGCTTATACAATAGTGGAAGATCTAGAGGAACAGGCTTTAGGCTGGATCTCCAAGAATGTTTCCCAGAACACTGGAGAAATGGCCCTCTCAGGGAGCTTTTACCTCTGCCACAAAGAGGGGAAAGGAGAGAAATTAGAAGGCTACCAGTGGAACCTACCACTGTGACCTTGACCCAAGGATCAGAAAGCTTCTGTTGGCACCTCCTTAACTGCTTCTCAACACTCGCAAAACTGAAGACTAGACTGCTCCTTTGTTAGAAGATCCCCACATACTCAGTTAGGTCACTGTTCAGAGGAAAACAAGCAAGAAACCAGCAGGCGAGGACCTCTGCCTGCCTGCCTTCTTCCCAGTCTCAAACCGTGCACGTAGTTAATGGAACCCAGTTTGCATCTAGGACCCTAACTAAAAGGGAGTCTGGGAAATGTAGTGTTTCATTTTCTAGCCTCTGGACTACAAAAAGGAACACTAGAGAAAGTATGGGACTAGAAATTGAACAGATACTAAGCGCCAATAGAGTCTGTTATAAAGGACATGTTCTAGGAAGAACACTCCGGTTTTTCCATAAGGACCATCAGAAGCAAAAAGTAGAACATATTTTTAAAAAGAATGTCAGCCAGATCACTGTTTCAATTTAAATTACCCGAATTTACTTGATGAACTAACACTTTCCATGTATTATTTCCGTAGACATGTTCAAAAACAATTTTTTTAACTGCATTGTCCTCTAAATGTTTCTCACAGTGTTGTAACCAGTTACAACAGGACAGGGAAAAGAGAATTTATATATGGGTAGATAGATATATAATTTTTAAATTGTAGCTAAACTTTTAAAGATTCATTTTTAAAAATTAATACAAGTTGAGAATTCCAAATCTTTGAAATCTACAATGCTCCAAAATCTGAAACTTTTTGAGCACCAACGTGACACTCAAAGAAAATGCTCACTGGGGCATTTTGGATTTCAGATTTCCAGATTAGGGATGGTCAACTGCACATATAATGCAAAAATTACAAAATCTGAAAAAAATCAGAAATCTGAAACACTTCTAGTCCCAAGCATGTTGGTAAGGGTTACTCAACCTGTACCTTTTGGAAAAAATATGGCATCCATTAAACAAAGACTCTCACCTATGCAAAAGCCTTTCACCTATTTTATTTTTAGGAATGCTGAACAACAGAGAATATTGTGGAAGATTCCTGATATCTCTCAGAAGTCAGAAAATGGAGGTAATATAATCACAGGCTTATTTCATTTAATATGTAAAGCAGAAATAACTTTTAAGTGATTAATAACTTAAATATTAACCAAAATACATATAGCACTAAAAACAAGCAGAATATTTCACTGTATTTTTGCATTTACTTATTTCAATCAATAAAAGCAAATAATTCCTTATGAATCCTCCTCTTCCCCTTTTCTACCAAGACTCCACATCAAACAGATCATCTTTATGCAGAGAAAAGCTCTTAAGGAAGCATGTTTTCATCCTGTACCAGATCCCATGCTCCCTGATTAGATAATTTTTTGCTTTCTTCCAATATTAATCATAGGTTGGAAAATACATGGTCTTTCAAGTAGAATTTCGCTGAAGTACATTTTTACCAGTGTACAAATAGTTACTCATAATATTCAATGATAAATTTTATTCATCACTATTTTGTCACTAAAGCATATACTATTTCCTAATAAATCTGATTTTGTATGTTAACTTTTGAATACAGTTTGCAAAATTATATCCAGAATGTTGCATTGACTCTTACCTTGCAATAATGCTCTTTTTTTAGGAGTGGGTTCTTTATTGGCAAGATTTCAGTTATCTGAAGGCCCAAGCAAACCTTCCCCGTTGGTTGTGCAGTTCACAAGTGAAGGAAGCACTCTTTCTGGCTGTGACATTGAACTTGTTGGAGCAGGGTATCGATTTTCACTCATCAAGAAAAGGTTTGCTGCAGGTAAGTGGGCATCTTGAGTTTTATTTGCAAAAATAATGTTGCCTTAGCTACTCTCCCTTCAAAAGGAATAGGTTGTGATTTTCTCTTCTTCCTCCTCCTCTTCCCATTCTGAACCCCCAGACCAATTAGAAAACAAACTAATTGTTGAATGAAGTTAAAAATAGAACAATGAACTGGAAATCGAAAAACAGGAAGGCCCTGGCTACGTATTCTGGCATGTTTCTTATGTGGGACTGACCAGTGGTTCCTGTTATATAAATGTGTAGACTGAGGTTCATGGAGTAAATCCTACTTTTGTTATATTGACAAACAAGGCCAATGCTGTTTGCTTTTGAATTTATCTTCCACCTGAAAACTTTTTGTTCTCTAACGGACTTCATAGATTTTAGAATTGTCAGGCTTAGCTGAGATCTGGGAGGACCTATTTTTCTCTTTAGTAGCAACCTTAAAGAATCTAGATGACAGATCAGAACTGGTTACCCATAAGATGAACGTAGCCATGAGACAGGTCTTAGTTGCTGCAAATAGTAGGGTTTTTGTTTGTTTGTTTGTTTTTTATTGGAGGAGGGGGATTCTCCGATACTAGGGTAACTATACTTGCCAGTGAGATTTGCTGAGATAAATCCTGGGTTTTATGCCTGTTGTACTGATGTAATTATTAATTATACCCCTTTCACTCTCAAAAATGATCCCAGTAGGAAAATAGATAGTATGAACACCCTTCCTAAAATAATTTGGATTCTCATATCCAGGAAAAGAATCTCCCAACCTATTCTGGGCAAAATCTAAACCTCTGCAAATTGTTGATCTATGGAAATGTGAAAAGGCTTATCTGGAAAATTGGAAACTTAAAAAACTTTATGTATTTTATATTAGTATTGCACCCATAAATTATGCAGTGTTCGGCTCCCAGGGATAGGGCAGGAGAAATAGAACTGTTACCCATATAATAATCCCATTATTTTACTAACAGATAACCTATTGGTATGTTGTTTTGTTTTGCAGGAAAATACTTGGCAGATAACTAATAAAATCTTATGCAAGGATTTGGAGGATTCATATAATGGAGAACTGTTGTATGAGAAACAGGTTTTAATTTGGTTTGATGAAAACAAACCAATATCTGCACTTGGGATATATCAGCTGGAAAGTCAATGACTTTCAGTGTTGATTTCTCCCCCACAATACCATGATGAGAAGTCCTACAGTATTTACTTATAGGTGTAATATTGTTAATGGTTTTAAAATGTATTATTGTATTTGTAAATTGTACTCTCATTCCAGTAAGGCAGTTAGACACTTGAGTTCTAGCATTTTACCATTCCTGAAATGGATGTAATTTAAACTGTGGTATGTAAATTTAATAGTAGTACTGGTGAATGGCACAATGCTTACAGAGGTAGATTGCATTTTGTCAATATATAAAATTTAAATATAATATTGATAGCTGTCATAAAGGGGGTGCCACATATAAAGAAACAAATGGAACTAGAAGAAAAAAAAAACACTTTTCTTCAGTCCTTAGTATGTTTTACTCTAGTGCTAAATAAAACTTCTATCTTCAAATGTTTAGTGTTAAATTCAGAAAATATTTCAGAAAAAAATTCTATGGTTACAGCATATTCAAAGAAAAGCATTAATTACCACTTTTTAAAAAGCTTTTTTTTCAAACTGCAAATTTCATAAAAATGCAAACTGTGTAAACAGGGCCTCTTATTTTTATAACTTGTGTAAAAAGGGAAAGCAATTCATATTTAAAGTTTAAGTATATTAAATTATAATCAAGAGTAAAGAAGATGTTGACATCTTAACTATTTCCCTCTCTCTCTACAGTTTAGCAAATGTGGCGATTGCTAAATAATCATTCTGACTAAAACAAAAATTGTGATTTTAAGATTTCAAGACTTTCCGTAGTTGAACTGGATAACAACTTTGCACATTACTCCAAACAGATGGTCTCTCTCATCCAGCATGGGGTAATGAAACCTCATGTCCTGCTCTTTTCCCCTAGGAATCAGAACATTGAGACTAGGAATCTCAGAAAAAAATTTTAGTTTCCCTGTTCAGATCCAGAAGGAGAATTTTAAACATCATCATTTATATCATTTGGGAAGAAATCAAAATACTTCATAAATGAAATTTTGTTCATATTATTGTGCAATAAACTTCCTTTTAGATAATTAAGATTCACTGTATAAAACTGTAAATCTTTGCCATTCTCGAGGAATCAAGAGGAGAGTTACCAACAATTCATATCATTTCATTGTTGGAAGGTGTAGTAAAAACCGTAATTACTCAGTCTGGCCCCACAGTATGAGAATTCAGAGAGAAGAACATATTCAGGAGTCCTAGTTGTAAAACCTTCCCTCATTAAGATCTGAGAGTACTAGTCTTCCTTTAAGTCATAGCACTTATTTTAAACACAAACCAATTCCTATTCTAGGTTATACTACTAAATAATTATAATTATTAAGCTGTTATATTTATCATTAGTTGCTAAATTTAATTTTATATCCACTCAAATTTGACAAAGAATCTTTAGTCCCTTCAAATTTTAGAATCATATTAAAATTTTTAAGTCTTACTTTGAAAATGAGATTGTAACTGGCAATTGTTTGTAGTGGAACTTTTAAAATTAATTTTTGTACTCCTTAATCAGTGCTTGCTACCAAGAGAATGTCCAAAATTATCTGTTTTACCTTAGCAGAATTCTTCCTCTTCAAACAAACTCTCAGTTGGCTATCCAAAGCAGTCTGGTGTTGAAATTTTTTTTAACAAACTGATTAATGCTAAGTAAACATACCCAATTCGATTTTGAAACCAAAATAGAAAATGCAAAATTTTAAATCCCAGGAAACACGGGGAAGTTTAGAACACTAAAACCAATGGAGAGTAATCAGCAGAAAATTGAGAATTATCCAGCATATGAATATTAAAAATGTGTTTTTAAGTAATGAATTCATGAAAAACCATATCGACTATTAACACAAAGCATATTAAAAATGTGTAAATATTTTTCATTCTCATGTCTCTTTATATTTTATTTTATATAGATCTAGACTGAATTAGTAATTAAACACAAGGGGGTTTTTCCCCCGCAAGGAATAATTTTGTTGATATTGTAAAAATGTAATTAAAAACATAAGTTACAATAATTTCTGACATTATCCAAATGTTTTCAGGAACTAAATTTGAAACTATAAAGAAATCCTATGATCCCTTCATTGGTGTTTATGAAATGGAAAGGGTGTCATTGATTTCAAAATTTTGAAACCTTAAATAACCAGAACCTCAATAGAGAATTACCACTTCTCCCTTCAAAAAACAGATCAAATAAGAACCCACTAAGTTCATATCAGGGATTTAGATTTTGGTGTTTTTTAATCTTGTAAGTTATAATCTCCTGTTATACCTATATCCACAGTACTGTAGAATAAGAATTCATCTTTTAAAAAATGATCCTAGAGAATGCAAGAGTCTCAGTTATCAAAAATACATTAAGCTAGATTCACTGTTGGTTCCTAAGTCAGAACAAAATGGGCTACTACGTATTAAGACAATTTTCAGTAGCAGGAGTTAAATTTTTTTAAAAAGGGTTCTAGTTAACCAGAGCACCATTTTCTGAGCATTATGTTTAAAAAAGGTTCTGCTCTAGCAAGACAGAAAATATGAATGATACTGCTTTATTTTGGCAACATGAAAAGTATGTTTTTCTTTTCGAATAAAATTCCATATTTTCATGAAATTTTTAAAAATAGATTCTTATTAAGAATTAGTCTGAATTTTATCATAATTGGAATTTATAATTCCTACAAATTAAATTTTAAATTATTTTTAAAGCTATATTCTTCTCTACACCTACAGCCAAAATAAAAATTCACTATATGGTATTTGGGAATATACTTCACCTGTAAAGAAAGAATGTTCACATTTCAGATGGTTTTGAGAGGATAGGAATCCCTCAGAAAGCCAAACTACAGATATTCTTTTCTTTTTTTATGTTTTTACTGCATCTCAACCTGCAAAGTGAATGAGCCATAGTTACACATATGTATTTCCATTTCCAAATCTTTTCAAAGAAGCAGGTAACTACATTAGCTCTATCGCTAACTCCTGCTGAGGGACTTTGGACAAGTTGCCGCCCTTGTCAATTCCCCATTTTTAGAATGAGGGGTTGGGATTTCCAGTGATTTTCAAGCTTTTCTTAATGGTAGGACTTTTTTCTAATAAAATTGTACATGAAATCCTGTTAGGCAAAACAGCTTAAAGTAATGAAAGAGTTTCTCCAGCAGTTTAAATCTGGGCTCTCCAGGTCACCTTTAAATGCCACAACACACAAGTAATCTCTAAAGTGTCTTCCAACTCTGAAGTTCCATGATTCTGCTTTACTCAGACTAACCACCTTTTGAGGCTTTATGAGGAAACTTGTCCAATCACAGTAATTGGCTGATACACACTAAAAACTGATATGTACTTGAGTGCTTACCATGTACCACCCACTAGAGATATTAGCTCTTTAATCCTTATATCAATCCAAAAAATCGTAGGTATTCTTTTTAATTCCTGTTTTTAAAATGGTGACATTGAGGCTTAGATTAATTAATTTGCCCAAAATGACACTGCAGCTGAAGTAACCCAGTTATATTGACTGCAGAAAGAGTGCCTTGCTCTGTTTTGCTTTGTCCATTCTGGGGGAAAAAAATCATCTGTTTTATTTTACTATACATACTCCTTTTGATTGCCAAGGTAAAAGACAATACAAAAAACTAGTATCAAAATAAGGATAATTCCAAAAGAAACTCATTTAAAAAGAATCAGTATTTCTCAAAGTATGATTTTTGGACCATTGTATTATCACATTAAAAGAGGGCAATGATTTTGACTTAGTCAACACTATATCTCCAGAGCCTAGAAGATAATAGACATCAATAAATTTGTATTGGATGAATAAATCTCTAGAGATGGGATTTGGGAATATGTATTTTTGATAAGCATTTAAAATTTGAGAACCACTGCCCTAGTAGATCTCTAAGGTCCTTTTTAGTTCTGACATTATATCAAATTTTAAGCATTAAATTCTAAGTTGAATACCATTTTTCTAGTCAGTTTATTCTAGTCAGTTTATTTTTTGGTCAGTTCATCCAACTTCCTTCGATCTTAAGAAAAGATTTTTTTTTCAAGGAAAATCCCTATCCTTTCCTTGGAGTTCTTGTGTTACACTATCACAATCTCAAAGTAGCCTGAAGTGCATTCTCTCATTTTCACATTTCTGTCCTCTTCAGTGTCTTAAAAAACTTAAAGTAGTACAGAGGTTGCAAGCTGTCACTCATTCCAAATACAAAGTCCTAATAAATGTCCCCTTCCTTGCAAGGGACACTCAGACCTCTAAGTTGTGAGTTGACCCTATTTACTATTTATTTTGTAGGCTTTTGACTTTACAAGTGTAGATTACCCCCATTCCAAAAGAGTTGCACCAAACATTTTGATTTTTGCATTTTTCAAAATAATCACAGGCTGTCAAAGTTGAATGATACAGTAAAAAACCCAGGTACCTACTAAAGAGATGAGTGTGTGTGTACGTGTTTGTGTTTAAGCTTTCTCTTTCCCCAAAGATTATGCATTTGAGCAAATTACCATTCAGTCTAAATGTACTCACTTTGCTCCATGGTTTTCTGATGAGCATTTTTTAAAAAAAAATGAAAGTATGATTTTTAATAATATCAAAATGAGAGTGATCTCTAAGTATAGCTTTAAAAGTTAATATAAGTAAATATGATGTTTCTGTGAAATGAGTCAAATAAAATTGTTGATATGAGTGAACAAATCAATCCATGTTACATTGGTTCAAGAGATGTTTCTTATTACCCTCCTCATCACCCTTTACTGTATGTGCTTCTTTCTTGAGGCTTTTTTGTATTTTTCCTGCTTCTTTAGTTTTTGTTTTGTTTTGTTTTTGTGTTATTTTGTTTGTTTTTTGTTTTGACAAACAGTATCTAAATGCCGTGCTCTCTCGTCTATTAAATACTCATGTACTATCATTACGTTACCTTTTGTCCATGGAATGCATGGAGGAAAAATGAAATAGGGTACATTGCTTAAGCCTCCAAATAGCAAAAACAAACAAACAGCAGCAAAATACTTGCCTTTCTCTTGGGTCATTGCTTTCATGTTTGTCATCTTCTGCAGGCTAAAGTTGCATTTTTAATATCTAATTGAAATCTAAATATCCTCTCAAAAGAATGTCAAATTTTAGGGTCTGCTGAGTTGACCATGGTGAGACCTCTTGATTGGCCCTCATATTTAATATTTGATTTCTATCTTACATGGATATTCCTATGAGGAAAGGTGCCTCTTTGTTGACATTCACCATGGGAATAGTAATTTGTTCTCTAGGTTTAACTTCTGAAGTTATTTTTCCTTTGATTTATAGTATTTCTGATTGCCACGTTCTATCCCCAGAGTAGTAGTATTTATTGTCCTAAATACATCTTTAACCTTGTAAGAAAAGATGTTTCAACCAAAAGCAAATATATTTTAAATGTTCCTTAATGTTTTAAAGAAAGGAAGTAAAGTATATTTGGACTGCATTCACCAATGTTCCACTATTTTCCAAATTGTGTTCAGGTCTACTAGTTCTTGCAAGTGTTCATCGTGGTCTGAGAACAAATGATTCTATACCATATTCCTCATTCCTTGAACATTGAATAAATGTTAGTGTTTTTAATGAGGCTTAAGAAAGTTATTGGATCAGGAAAAAAATATTTTTTCTAAGCACACCTTAAAAAAGCTTAGGAAATGTTTTCTTTTAACTCTAGCTTATAACTCTTTCAATAACTGCAAATAATAAAACCAAGAATGCTTTGAAAAGATGCTTTTGGGATTTGTTTTAACTTTTAGGGAATTCCTGTCATTCCAAATAAATTATTATCTGTTTTAAATTTTACTCATACCTCTTAATGAATTTAACTATACCATCTAAAATATTCAAAACAAAATGATAAAATTATTTTAACTTTTTAAGTATTACTTTTAAGACCTGCACCTATGACCAGCACATCAGGCCCCTATCTGTTGAAGATGTTCCAAATTTTTTGCAGTATGGAGTTAATGTTAGTGAACAATCTTTGGTGATATTTCATTAAACAGCTTTAAGAATCATGATAGATCGACACTGACAGTATTTTTACATAAGCTTGTTAGAAATTATATGAAAAACATTTAGCACTGTTTAGCATAGATTCTACAGGATTCTACACTCTTTTAATGAGCATTTCAGTTCTTTTCTGCTTTGCTTTATTTTGCAAATCAGCTGTTTTTACAGAAAATCAACAATGTTCCTTTAAAAAAATCATGGGTAAATTGTTATCAAATAGAAAAGAGTAAAGCTGAATCACTTTACATCTCTCTAAATATAGTTTAATTCCTAATCCATTCAGAGTTTGTGAATCAGCCTGATAGATCATAAGCTATTTATGACTTTAAAATGTTCCATTGAATGAGTATAACATGAAAATGTTAATTCCATCTCATTCATTTGGTTTTATATTACTTTATTGACTTTTTTCCTGGAAAAACAAATGCTTAATGTTATTCATACAACATGTCTTTAAACTATTTTAAATAATACACCAACTGACTATCACAGGGATCACTGTCCCCAGATCCAAAGCCAGGTTTTTATTATTATTATTATTATTATTATTATTATTATTTGCTAGGATAATTCTTATAGCTATGTTGATTTTTCCAGTCAGTATTTAGTTCTTGCTGTGTTAAGTGGATATGCATGAAAGAGATTGGCTCCTGTCTCATTCTCATTCTCTCTCTCTCTCTCTCTCTCTCT